CATTGAAATTCCACAAGATGTGGTTTACCCCTTCCGTACGTGCTACAGTCGGCTAAATTTCAGTTAAACAAATGAAAAACAAGAAGCATTCGTACAGCAGAAAATAAAATTCACCCCGTCGACTTGATGAACACCCCAGCATTGCAATAAAAACTGGGTTAATAAAAAAAAAACACCCCAGCATTGCGTGTTGCGCCCTCCCTCTCTTGGGGTGCAGTACTACGATGCCGCTGGGGTCACTCAAACCCCCAGAACTGAGCCTCTACTTTAGTCAATCCTCTTTGCTCTCCATTATGAGACTTTTCAGTCCATGCTGTTTTTCAGTAAAAAAGATATACATAGTGAAAATAATTACTGTATTTTATTTGTGGCAAACTGGGTGGATCTAGGACAACTAGGAGGATTTTTTAAAAACATTGAGAATTCTTCTGATTAACTCAGGTCCATTCCAGTAACCCCTGTACACGAAAAAAAAGTTTTAGAAAATTGACCTCAGTGTTCTCCTTAAAATTAATAAGAAAAATATATTAAAAACTCACTTCAACATGAAATTCCAATAGAGGAACGGAAACATTTCCTTCTTCATAAAATACATAATCCACATTTCTTTTTTCTGATCAACGGGAAATGTTTCTAACGGCTGGAGATTATAATCAAATTCAGCTAGAATACATTTTCCAGGCGCTGTAACGAGGGGACAGGAGGCATATCCATTATACACTCCTTGTACGGCTTTTCCCTTGAGCTCGTTCAAAATATTTTTTTCCACAATTTTCGCTTGCGATGCTGAAAAAAAGCTCTTAATATTTACACTCAATATTTTATTAATTAACAAGATGAAAAAACTAGATTTGTCCTCCTGCATAATGATCAATTGATATGTATAAATAGTTGCAATGTTTTACCTATTGCTGCCATTGTCTTAGAATTCGGAGTAGTAGTACAATCTCCAATTCCATAAATATTATTAAACCGACAGTGCTTGAGGGTTTTTGCATCGATGGCTAAGAACGCAGCTTCATTCGTCAATGCTGGATGATTCTTGAGCACATCTGGGGGTCCCATAGGTGGGCAAACATGTAGAAAAGAGTACTAAAAGAGAAAAAAAGTTTTCATATGATTTTTCTGAAATACTACTCTTCAGAAATACCTCCCAAACTACCTTCTGGGTGATTTTCTCTCCAGGATTTTTTAAATTTTTAAAAATAGCCTCTTTCTTAAAGTTATTTATCTCGATCAATGAGCTCTGAAGATTCACCCTGATGTTTCGTCGTTCACACACAGCCCATAGGGCATCCGCGTATTTCTTTACTCCAAAAATCACAGGAAGAGCGGTGTTATAGACAACTTCCATATCCTTGCGATGATTTCTCTGGTGAAAATTTTGGAAAGAATTTAAAAAAAATATTAAATCAATTGAGTAAAGTATTACTTTTGTCCAGAAATCCTCAGCAATATAGGCGATTTTCTGAGGTGCCCCAGGGCATTTGACCGGTGAATTTGGAAATGTGAAGATCGCAGAGCCTTTCGTTGTCTTTTTTATTTTGTCGAAAACACCTTGGACAGTCTCTGGGCCATAAATTGAGCATACCTGGGAATCTGGGTCGTTCAGAGCGTCCACTAGTCCAGGAATCTATCCAAGCAAATTTCAACTATATTTTATATTATAAAAAAATCGAAAACCAGAACCACGCATCTCCTAATTTTCGCTGTAATATGGGAATAGAATAAAATATATTCAATTAAATTGAATTATGGCAATTTAGCTCGGGAGATTTTTTTCTCCAATGTACCTTGGCCCAGTCGAGTTGCAATCCCATGGCAACAATCATTATTTCATACTGTATCGTGTCCCCATTGTTAGTCATGACTTTATTAGATTCTGGATCAAATATTGTTACGCTGTCCTTCAACCATTGAGCTTTTTTGGGTAAAACATCACCCATGAAACGCCTGGACGACTGAAACTTCTTTAAACCACCGCCTATTAGTGTGAACATTGGCTGATAGTAGTGAATCTTTAGGAAAAAGAAAAAACACATTAGGATAACTGAAAATTTTCGATTTCGTCAAGAATGATGATTTTTTTCTTCTTTTTTACCTCACTAGGTTCTACAACAATCACATGATTTGGGGCCTTGTCGAATTTCCTTGACAATTTTGCAGCCATTGTACACCCCCCCGTTCCACCGCCAACCACTAAAATTTTGCAACTAAAAGGAAAACGACCATTAAATATAACTCATTGTTTGTTTTTCTATTTATTGGCGTATATGGCGCGCTACGGGTCTTTTAATATAGAAAACAAATTTTCAATAATTTATTTGAGTATTTGGTGTGTAGAAATGGATAACATTTTTACTATGCAATAAATAATATCTTTCAGCGTTCCAGTTCCTACGGCATTGGATTCGTGCGCCAATCTACGATTTTTCTAGGTAACGAATAAAAATAATTGAATGGCAGCAGAACAGCCCACATTAAAGTATATAACGTTTTTCAATTGCCTGTGATTCACACAATGCTCATTTGTTACTTTTTTTTGGACGCATACATGCTTCTTTTTTAAAGGAATATTATCCTCAGTTTCAAATAAGGAAGTAATAATTGTCCATTTTTTATGTGAGTGCGAATACAGACGTGCTTAATTACGAGGTGATAATACATTACTTCAATGAGAGTGGTTGTGTTTATCAGAGAAGAAATATTCTTCAATAATCACGTATAACTAACTCTATTGGAGGTGTCGAAATTATAAGAACGAGTAACAATAGAATTTTTTAAAACGAATTGCGGGCATTGTTATCTACCTATAGTGTATCTCTTTGGCAGATAATATCGCCATTCTGTGCGCTCTATGGATGCTGCAACAGGTGTTCATAATTATATGACAATACTTCACACTTAAAAATTCCATAAAAATTTGTCACTCCAAAATGATCTTGAAGTTGGCCGGTCAACAAAAAAACTTGGGACTGTCTAGATCTTTCCAATTATCAAGCCTCTGAATATTAACATTCTCCACCGGGGAGTCCCGAAAATAATATTTTTCGTTGCATCCACTTGTCATCAATATATATGATCTCACTGATATGCGGTTACCTGCGGTTATTATTCTGTACGCTTGGGAAAAAAACTTGACAGTTTCCCAGCTGATAAAAAACTGTTTTACCATGGACATGAGGATGGCAATATATCCATATATATATAAAGTATATATATATATGTGGTGGCGCGGGTCAGCGGAGCCGGGATGTTTCCACCATCTCCACGAGCCAGCCATGTTGGATCATTGGCGTCTGAAGGGATCTCTGAGCTCAGAACACCAGAGCCCGGCATACGGCCAAGTTCACCCAGTACTTGTTGCACTGTGTTGTGTTAGTGGTGTATCTAAGTATCCTCGGCATAATTATTCACCTCAAAGAAACAAATGGAACAAGTAAAAAGTCACTCTGAATGATCAACAATAGATTAACCTTGGTGGAGGAGCCGAGTCCTCCCGAAACATTAAAAACTCATCGCCTTGATTGGCTAACACTTTTTTATCCATTAATTTTTTAATAATTTATCTACAAAAGCCAAGGGACAAGCAGTGCCACTGCATCCTGGAGATTATTGGTGATACTGAATCGTGAAATTTCAGGTAAAAAACAGTCTGACAGTGATTTAATTCATAATAATCGGTTTGTGAGATACCTGAACCCTCTAACCTCATTTATGCAGGGTATTAGGTGCGTGGGGGTACCTTTTGACAGCTAAAAATAATCATCCTCCACTGATGGAAGTGAAGGAGAGGGATTCTATTTTGGAATTCTGTCATTATTTCTTGGGGACAAGTCCAGTGGCGAGCTATCGGTGTCTTGGATACTTTGCATTTTCACTCATTTGAATTTTACTTGGGTGGGATAGTACTTAATCATTACGACCATCACTATCAATAAATATTTATATTTTTACAAACGTCATGTTTTGCAGCTCGAATTTCGAGGTGATATTTGGGCAGAGGTATACGAGGTATAAGTCGTTGAAAATGTCATTTATTTTTGTGTGGGTAGAAACGTTCCGCATGATTGAACTATCACTCAACCATTTATTTAGTTGTTGTTGATGAGTGCATTAATTTTGGACGAATATCCAGTTGTGAAATTTGAACTGTCGGGTAACTTATATTCTGCAGAAATAAAGTTTGCATAAAGTGCCGCATGTGATAAAGGAGCCTTATCGCGCCGAGTGACATTAAGTAATTAAGTTGCAATAGCTAATGAAATTGGCTCCCACATAAAAAAGCCAGTTTTTCACTTCGGAGGATAAATTCAAGATGTAAATTTATTAATACTCAGGAATACTCGCTCTTAGGAACTCTCACAGGCTCACCTCACAAATATAATTATTTTCCAGATAATACCTGGAAAAATGTCTCGTCACTTGATGACAGTATGCGTTGTCTGCGTTCTGTGTGCATCTCACAATCCCTGCTCCGCCCACACAACTATTTCACCCAATTCCCAAAGCTATCAGGACCCAATTATTCCACCCCCAAGTCCCAAGTATACAAGAATGCACTCAAATGGTGATCCACGAAATCATCACGAGATGATGACACCTCCAGTGGAGGATCGAGGAGGTTCGGCGGGTTGGCCAAGCCGTTCCAAGAAGCTCCTCCATTCGGAGAAAATGAAAATGCGCTTGGAGAAACAAGAGGAGACAGTTTCGCAGGAAATTCATCACTTGGAGAGTCGAGAGGTCCTGCAGAGGCTCGGACACATCCCAGGGGATAACTCAATGTTCTCTTCAAGAGGACAATACTCAAAGAATCACCCAAGAGTTTATCACAATGCCAGACAAAAGAGACACGTGGAGACCCATGACAATTACTATCTCAAGAAGATTTTTCAAACGTTTGGGGATGGGCAGAGCCTCTCTATGGAGGGCTTTGAGAATATGCTCAAGAAGCTTGGCCTCACCGAACTCATCAAGAACGTCCAGAGAGACCACAGCCAACTAGGCATTAATGGTAAGCTGTGATTTTTTATTAGCGGAATTGGTGAATTGATGAATTCATTGCGTCTCGTTGGATCTCTCTATCACGTGTGCCACCATCATTTAACCCACCAAATTGTCGTTAATTGATCACTCGAGAGATGATACAGACGTTCTCAGGATAATTATTTGGATTCAGGGGATTTTAATCTTATCTACGCTTATCTACTTTTAAAAAATTCTTATTCGTCATAATTCACATTTCACGAGAATTTTCTCGTAATCGTAAACGAGAGAACGCCCCAATGTTTGATTCAACAGAAATTTAATCTACCACTTCATCAGTTTCTATGGCTTAGTATCGCGCTAAGATTTAGAGCTCTGATTACACGGATTTTACTCAAGAAATCCCAGCTCTGCTCTTTAAGTGTGCATTTCCTTTTTTTTTTCTCTCTCTCTCTCTCTCTCTCTCTCTCCCCCTCTCTCCCTCCCTGTCTGTTGTCCAATTACGATGGTCAGTTGGTCAAGGAAATATTTGTTTCCATTATCTGGAGGGCCTTGGCAACATTTGTACAATTATCATTCATCCCTGATTGCTTTTCCCATTTTCATCATCCAAGAGAATTAACACGATTGCATCCCGTTAATGGCCACGATGAAAAGAAAAAAACATCATTTGCTTCACAGGTACATCAGAATCAGCAAATAATTCGGAGAAAAGTTCAGAGGATCCTAACAGCATAACCGCCAAGGAAAAGGTACACTAAGAATTGTTCAGTTAATTTTTTAGTAGTATAATTTGAAAAAATTTGGAAATCGTTGAACTTTTGAAAAATAGCTGAGCCGTCGTAATTGCTAAAATGTTAAATGTGTTTAGTGTCTGAGCACTCGTGACTTCCTCTTCCATCTATCACCAACCGCCCACCCGGCGAAAAACTTGAGTAACTTAACCCAAGACCTCTTGGAGAGAGCGTGTCCAGTACTCCTCTATCACCTCACGAGTTCCTCCCCTCTGGAGAATTCAGGCTGTATAAGTTTTCCCTCGACAATGAGCCAAATTCCCCTCAACTCGTTACCAGAGGATTTTGATGACGAGCCCACGAGAAATATCGTTCAGGTCTGGGTATACTCTACCATCTCTATTGTGATCATCAGCCTTTGTGGTCTGCTGGGTGTTGCAGTGATTCCAGTAATGGGTAAAGCCTACTACAATCAACTGCTACAGTTTCTCGTGGCACTGGCAATTGGTACGTTGTGTGGAGATGCCCTGATTCATTTGTTGCCCCATGCCATGATGTCTTCGCACTCGCACTCCCACTCCCATTCTCACGAACTTGGAGAAATACCCCAGGAGATTGACCACGAGAGCTTGCACAATTCCAACATGTGGAAGGGCCTCACTGCCATGATGGGTCTCATTCTATTTTTCTTCACGGAGAAAGCCCTCTCGATAGTCGCTGAGTGGCGAAAGTACAGACAGAGAAGAAACAAACCTCCATCGAGGGTAAGGGTGATGAGAGAGTCCGAGGGGCCTAATACTGTTGGTGAGAAACTGTGCAAGCACAAGTACTCGTCTTATCCATATTGCTATGGGGAGATCACCACCAAGGACAATCATCACGAGCATGAGCACAATGATAAGGAGAGAAGTGGAGGAGGGGAGGAGATCAAACCTCTCAATGAGGTATCTTCAAATTCTGTGGAAAAGGATGAGGGGGAGAAGAGGGAAGAGTGGAGGCTTGAGGAGGGAGGAGTAAAAAAGGGTGAGGAGGCAGGTGGTGAGGGGGATGGATACACTGTTATTATAAGGGAGCACGAGAATAAACATCATGGACATACTCATTCGCATGGTCATGTGCATGCAGCTCCCGAGTCCATGTCAAGCGTTGCCTGGATGGTAATAATGGGTGATGGCCTTCACAATTTCACTGATGGAATGGCCATTGGAGCAGCATTCGCTGCCAACATTGCTGGGGGCTTTTCAACAGCAATAGCAGTATTCTGTCACGAATTACCTCATGAACTCGGTGATTTTGCGGTGCTACTTAAGGCTGGAATGTCAGCGAAACAGGCCGTTTTTTATAACTTACTATCATCGGTACTTTGTTTATTTGGAATGATTTTCGGGGTACTTCTTGGGGCGCAACCTGCGTCAACCAGCTGGGTTTTTGCCGCTGCTGCTGGCATGTTTATTTACATTGCACTTGTGGATATGGTGAGTTGTTATACAATAATTACGTATTATGTTAATGAATCTTCAAGGAAATTCAAGTACTACCTGACGAGTATTAAACTTAATTTTTTACCTTGTCTTTTGTTCGATATAATTTTTTCAATTATGTGAATCATTGAATTCTGCTTGTTCAGATTCCAGAATTGTCATCAGGACACACTGCAGAAGGTGGATCAAACTGGCAATGCGTTCTCCAAGGACTTGGGCTAATTACAGGCCTTGGGATAATGCTTGTAATAGCCCTATACGAACACGATCTCCAAAATATTTTCAGTGATTAAGTCAAAAAAATTGGAGAAGATCTTTCCTCTTCGTCAATTTATCAAGGGATTTTTTTTTATTGTGGGAGGTGTAAAAAAATCTCTCGAATAATAATATTAGTAGGGGTGGTGTAGTTACTCTGAGATTCCAACGACCCAGGATGTTCACCTGACGAAAGTTCAGATCCAGACTTTTTAAAGTAGAAAGATCATCTGGCTTGATTATTCAATTCTGAACAATACTGAACAATTTATCAGATTATTTTTCCTTAGCGTGAAGCGTAAACAGTAGTAATGAGTGAGAGGTCAATTAGTTGAAAGATGTTTTGCTCAGTGAAAAATGTGAATTGTCATATTAATTGCATTCCAATGTACCAAGGTTCCTTTTCAATATTTTTTTCACACTTTTTCAACTGAACTGCGGTGTTTACATCTTTCGTATTTTGCTTCATTGATCATTTTGGTGCAGAAATGAGGTGCTTAAATGTATTACTGTAATGCCTAGAACAGAGTATAGAACTATTGTGATTATTTTTCATCGATATTTGATTATGGATTGCTGAGGGGAATTGGAGGGATCTCATTTCATTGGTATTCCATGGAATACATTTTTTGAAATAAAAATATTAATTAGAGTATTGGTTATTTCTAAATGCTACTTAATTTTGACAATTTAAAAATTAATTATCCACGTCATTTGCAAGATTTTCAGAAAAGAAAAAGCCAAAGTTCAATAAATCCCCAACCACTGAAATGGAAAATCAATCGGTATCCGATTACTAGCCTTTTATTTTGATCAATCCTCATTTAACACGGAATTTCCACGCTAATGAATAAAAGGCAAACGATCTTATTAAGTATCTTACATTAAGTTGTAATGTATCTTAAATTTATATTCATAGAAAAATGTAATGATTTACTTTTTCACGAAAATGTAATAAAACTTGAATTTTTTGAGAAGGAAATATGTTTGATCTTTGTAATTGATTATTACAGTATTGACTTACATGTTATAAACAATTTGCAATTTTTAGCCTCAGACTTGCAAATGTAGAGGGGCTGGCATCTCTTCGAGTTTTCCCCCGAGAACAGCTAGAATATTTTTGGCAGTCATTATCGACATATTTTCCCTAGTTTCCAAGGCTGCACTTCCGATATGAGGTAGAAGCACTGAAATGGACGTTAAAAGTATAATTAATTAATTAATTAATTTTTTTTGGTAGAAAAATGTCAATCAATTCACCACAATTGTTAAGTTTCAAAAGTTCGTGGTCCAGTGGAATAGGTTCCGGGGTCATGACATCGAGACCAGCTGCCCTGATTGTTTTATTTTTCAGGGCATTGATCAATGCTGGCTGATGGACAATTTCTCCTCGACTGACGTTTATAAAAATGGCAGTATTTTTCATTTTATTGAAGGCATTCTCATTAAACATCTCTCTAGTGTCTGGGGTGAGGGCAATCGTCACAATGACAAAATCACTCTCAGCAAGTAACGTGTCCAAGGGCACGTGTTGGCCATTGAATATCTTAGCCTCTGGCTTTTCCGTTCTACTTGTATAGAGAATTCGAGAAATCCGAAAAGATTTAAGATATTCTCCTACTCTTGCACCAATTCTTCCGAGGCCGACGATCCCAACTGTGGAATTTGCTAGACCTGGTCCACACATAAAGGAAGGGGACCAGGCGCTCCATTCTCCCCTGAAAATCCAGTGAACATTAATGGATTGACTGACATATTCTTTTATCTATTGGATGAATGCAAGTGACAAAACACTGACGCTCGGAGTGCTTGTGCAGATTCGCAGATTCTCCTGGAAGTGGCTAGTAGTAAAGCAACAGCTAGTTCTGATGTAGCATCGGTGAGAACTCCTGGGGTATAGCCCACTTGGACGTTGTGGCTTTTTAGGGCTTTGAGATCGAGGTGGTCGTAGCCCACGGACATGGTTGCCACTGCCTTAAGCTGTGGTCCAGCCGCTGACAGAACCTCTTCGTCGATTTTGTCGGTGAGCAGGCAAAAAACACCGTCGACTCCTCGAATCATCGAGAGCAATTCCGATCTTGGAATTGGAAATGTTTTCTCCCACATTGTTACATCACAGCTGTCAATCGATGGATAATCTTTTCACATTTTTTACTGTGCTTCACGAGCTCCTCATTATTTGTTAAGAAGGTTAATGGTTTATAAAAAAAAAAAAAGAAATGCTCACGTCTTCTTCAACAGATCGATCCCAGCCTGGGGTACATCAGCTCGTGTAACAAGCACTTTCGGTCTCGTCATTTTTGAACTCAGTTTCTTGATAATTCCTTTTGATAAAAAAGGATTAGACCACGCGTATTCGATAGTGTAAAGAATCGGAGATTTCAGAGACAGCTCTCGGACACTATTGAGCCACATAATTGATGATAATCTTATATTTTTACTAGCGCCGTCCCGGCCGCTTCATGAAATTCTCCGTTTCGAATGCATTTGTGAATGTTTTATGAGAATGATAATTGATGTTTTGATGGTTACTCATATAACTGAATTGACTAAATTGATTAAGATCGACTCATGGATGCCAATTTTTTTTTAATTGAGTAAAATTTAATCAAATCGGCTAAAATAATGTGCAATGCAGCATCTACCAATTTGCATTTTGAAAATGTTAAATTTCCAATTTCTATTCTAGTCGATTTGAGTCGATATGAGTCAATTGGCAGTCATGAGAAAAAATTATTTTTGGTGGGTAGGTAAGTTGATAGAAAAAAATTATTTTTTATTCTCAAGATTCTTCTCGGCAGCCCACAGAGTATTCTTCATCAACATGGCAACAGTCATGGGCCCTACACCTCCTGGGACGGGAGTAATGAACCCAGCGACTTTTCTCACTTGTTGGAAATCAACATCCCCGACGATTCTTGTCTTTCCATCGGGCGTATCCACCCTGGTAATTCCGACGTCTATGACACAAGCTCCTGGCTTCACCATCTCTTTGGTGACAAGACCAGGCACACCTGTCGCTGATACCAATACATCCGCTAATTTTGCTAATTTTATCAACTCTGCTCGGGGTGTGTGAATGTGACAAATTGTTGTCGTCATATCGAGTGCTCTAGTATCGCCTGGTGATAAAAAAAAAGTGTAATCAATTATTTTTAGTGGAATGAATAATTATAAATGACCGAAACCTTTTCCATTAGCATGCAGTAAGAGTGCTGTGGGCAGCCCCACGTGTTTCGAACGTCCAATAACGAGAGCATTACGCCCAAAAGTTTTCATCCCGGATCTAATTATTAATTCTCGAACGGCGAGCGCAGTCGCTGGTACAAATCCCTCGCTATCAGTGCTCAAGAGTCCCAAATTTTCAGAATGAAATCCATCCACATCTTTGCTCGGACGAACTGTTTCACAAGCGATTTTTTCGTTCAATCCCCTAGGCAATGGTAATTGCACTAGAACTCCATCAACATCTGGATCATCATTGAGACTCTTAATCTTCCTGATCAAATCCTCCTCTTTAATATCGCAATTCAACAGAATTGTTTCTGCCCGAATCCCAATGGAATTTGCAGCTTTGACTTTTCTCCCGATGTAAACTTCACTCGCCGGATCATTGCCCACCAAAATAGCTGAGAGTCGAGGTTGTTTGCGTCCTGATGCCACCCAGGAGTCGACGATTGTCTTCAAGTCATCTTTTATCTCTTTTGCTATTTGCTTACCACTGATTACCACAGCCTCGCATCTAAAGGGAAGGAAATCATCAAGTACCTCAACTAGATTGACCCAGTTTAAGATTTATTAATTTCGAAAAAATTCATTTCTCCGTGAAAATTTATCTGCTGCGCGTTGCGTTCTGCGTTACATATGTTGATATGTACTCACTGAGACGCTGTCGTGTGAACTTCCCGTGATGATTGCGATGACCAGGCTCTCAAACACCTCAGAACAATCATTCTTTTTATTAAATCACAACAATATCCACGTTGCAGATACAAATCAACAATATAAATCGTTGTGATGACGAAAAAATTAACAATGTGCAGAGGCTCACGCTCAGACCACTATCGATTGTTACTCGAGGCAATTCTCATATTCTATCAACGAGGTCTCCTTAAATAAAGAAATTTAATGGAGGAAAAGTAATTGTCGCTCTTTTGAATACATTTGAAACTCGTTCTCACTCTGTGCAGGGCAAACGAGATCATTGAACTTTCTACATATCGTGCTTTAATTTTTTTTTTCTGCACAATATAGTACTGTGTTATCCACAGCAAACTTCGTTATCGATGATTAATAAATAACCCTTGATATTTACCGAAAATTCTCATGTCCGCCATCTACAGGTTGAATTTATGATTGGAAAATTACGTGATTCCTCTTTTTCCAAGGTTACTGCTCTTTTCGTCTTTTTCCAAAGTGCTTGGAAACCTCAGTATGAACCAGTGTTAAATTGGGTCAATGGGATGTAACCGATCCTAAAAAAAAAATTCCGTCTCCAGAACGCGAGTAACTCCCCGGAAAAATCTCAGGAAATCCACAACCAGAGACTCGGAGGCGTTGAACTGGGGTGAAAGTCAAAGTTACTGATAAAATCCAAGTCAATAGAGAAGTGTCATAGTTGTATCGAGTAAACGAACAGCTGTTAACCATTTCATCGCCAATTCAATGTCACATTAAAATTTTTTATTGAAATCATTGGTGGTGTCCAGTATTGGGGAACAATTGTTTCACAGTTTTCCCGTGAATCTAAAAATTTTTCATTAAATCTTGGATGGTCCAAGGCACTTCGAGGGTGAACTGTCGAGAGAGCTGCCGAGACACTTTTGGGAGACATTTTTCTTCCGAGGTCAATAATTCTTGTCATTCGTAAGTGATTGTTATCTCAATTCAATCATTTCCACATCCAACATTTACTCTAGGTATAGGGTGAGCCTTAAATAACGCCCCAAATCATTAAAAAAAACACTCAATAATTTTTTTAAGACGAAAAACTAAGGCGTCCAATATTTTTCAATAAAAATTTCAATTTCTTTATCGATTTTTAGAAGAATACCATGTCTTGATTGTTAATTAACGCTTATTACTATCTTTTTATTTTCATCATGGTTTAATTTTGTTGGGAAACAGAAAGGTGACGTTTGATTGTCTTAACCTCCAAGATGTAAGATTTGCGATTTTTTACAGTCGAGAAACGACTGATTATTTTTCGGGTGATTTACTAAATGCAGAATTTTGAGAAATTTCGAGGAATTTTGTGGATTATTTTATGATTTTTTCAAAAATTTAATTGACCTGAGAATTCACTTGCAGGTGGAGCTGATTGCTAACATATGGATCCCCAAGGGAGCCTATAGATTGAGTCTATGGTGTGATCCTGGATTTTTTAAGGGATTCGAGAGTTATGAAGTCGATGGCGAGCAATGGATCGCCCTCAGTCTATGGCAGGGACATGGCAGAGAGACTGGGTTTGGGGCCTGAGGTCAGAGAGCTCAAACTGGGACCCACCTTCACTGGGGACCGAGGGACCGCCTTCCACACTCTCAAATATGACTTCAAACCAGCGAGCGTGGATGTTTCGAAGATGGCAACAGTCGAGGTGGGCTCAAACAACACGATGACAGTTACAGTGCCTCACTTGGACGGTGCTGGGATACCTCACACAGTGTTCAAAGGCTCACAACGTCCCTACAGCAAAGAATGTGTTCTGATAATCGACAGGATAACTGGAGAGATAACTCTTGAGAGACTCTCTTCCAATATCCAAGTAAAAAAGACTAGGGTAGAGCCTAAAAGTCAGCTGTTGACAGTCCCTCCGACCAACAGCACCAATTCAGGAAGACCTCACACACCTGTAGAGACAAGGAGGAGTCCAACCCATGGCAGATCCACCAGCAGAACGAAAGTCTCTACTGGCAAGAAGAGAGAGCCCACTGTTCAGCTGCATCCCAAAACTCAGCAGCCAAGTCCCAAGGGATTTTCTCCTTATCATGGAAGAAGTCCTCCTAATGTAAATAGCAACAGTTCTCCAGCGCAATCACTGGGTCCATCGACTCATCCGAGCCTGCCCATGATCGGTGCAGACTTTGAGGACTTTCCAACACCTGCGCAGCCCCCTAAAGCAGCCTCGCCCCCCTCAAAACACGCACCCTCCCCAAATCACACTGGAACCACCACTGTCACCTCTAGGGACCTAGTTGGAGTTCTCAGTGAGTCCAGCTCCAGTAGCTCAAGCTCCTCTAGTTCTGATAGTGATTCTGACGACGAAACTCACAGACCCATGACTGCCAATGGACATGCTAATGGACACACATCATCTCCGAATCCAATTCTCATGCACATGCCGGATAATCTATTGAACGACGATCTTCAATTATCTGAATCTGAATCAGATAGCGATTGATTTTCCCAATAATCCAGTATAAATGAATTCATGGAAACGAAATGATTGAATATATAGCTGAAAGACGATAATCGTTATAAAAAATTATATATATATATATTTTTGCTAAATTGAGTTTGGTGTTTGGCGTTTTATCATCAATTATATTTCTCATTTTGTTCGTCTACTCAAAAGAACATTTTTTTCTTTTCTCTTATATCGTAGTGTGTAATTGTCAGCTCAAACCTTTGAATAAAGCAAGGTCTTGCCAAGTAATTTTTTTTTTTAACATTATTTTGACATTATCCTTCTTTTCTAATGCTTGTAACAGCATTGTGCCTTTATTTATCAATAATTTCTTAAAATTTGGTATCTTGAAATCCATTAATTTTTCTTATCTTGTCAATATAATTGACACAGAAGAAAACTAATAAAATTTGAATAGAAAGCTATTCAGTTGTTCTGGTGATCTAGGATCAACTTGGCTAGTTGTCCTCGATGCCCCAGTTTGGAGTATTTTCTATTTTCACAATTGATTTTAGAAAATTCACTTGCAACAGTGCAGTCAATTTCTGTGTACCTGGTCTTGAGGGCTGGCTCAACAGCCCTCATAGGATGCAAATCACTGTACACCACGAACAATTCGAAAATTGAATTGATCATTTTGTTCCTCGGCAGTTTGAGAATCGACAGGACGTCCTTGTCATTACGGACAATAGGGATGTCCCCCTCGGAGATCTTTCGGGCATTTTGGTAATCTTTAACGTAGAAGGAGATAGTCTCAAAGTTGTCCAGATCGTAACTGCCGTGATTTCTGTTGATGTCCACCTCTGGGGGACGTGGGGTGCCAGTTGGGTAGGCGATGTCTGGATGGTACTCGGTGAATGGAATTGGGCTAAATATTTGGAACTGCATTATTGTGTTCATTCGCACCTGTAAGATAATTCTTCATTTTATTTCAGTACAAATAGTTATAATTATTAAAAAATCGTACCCTGTTAAGGAAATCGGGTTTGATGCCAGAGCCCATCTGCATTATCATGAGAATACTCTCAGGGGTGAACTTTCTGCAAACGAGATCAGCAATAGCCAAGTCGATTCCTGGATGACGACGATCCTCTAAGATACTGACAGGCATTCTAACAGAAAGCCAGCTGACCTTCATCTTGTCTTTCTTAAATCTCTCGCTGACCTCCAGAGCCTTGCCCTTGACCCCGGCAAAAACGTCCTGGGACCCTTTGGAGGGACTACCAGGGTCATAGAGCAGCACGAGCATAAGACTGGTTTTCTCTCTCTTCTCCATGCAAACTTTGAGGTACTCATCGATAAAACTTTTGGCCTCGACGATGGTGGAGGAGTCAACGATCACGATAATACTGACCTTTGAGTTCTCAGTGACGTAGGGCACAGGAAGTATCTCAGCCCTTCCCAGGGGCTTTGTCACTTCAAACCTCGTATTAACCCGCCCTTCAGCACCTACGACGTCAACATCGAGGATGTAATCCACACCTCGTCCTGCATCAAACCTCCTCCAACCGTTGTTCAATCTCTCCAGCCTACTCTGGCCGATCTCGAGCCTCTCCCTAAGCCTCCTGAGGACCTCGTCGACTTCCAACTTGAGAGCGCCAATCAAAGGCCTCGACGTCTCGCGATCCGTCGCCATGAATACGTGCGACTCGTTGAAGTAGTGCCAGGGGATTAGATCGAACCTTCCTAAAGGTGGCGACGCTCCAGGGACTCCAATTGGCCAGGAAACCTGTGAAAAATTCCTAGAAGACTCCGCTATCTCCTCAAAATCTCCCTCCATACTCTCAATTAACACCTCGACCTCTCTGGCCCTGTCCACCACCCATTGCACATGGAGTTTGTAGATTATGGCATGATCGAATACTGAAGTAATCGTCAGGGATTCCCTAAGCACAGAAGCCGCTCTGTCCTCGGTAAATCCCCCTGGATAATCTCTAGATAAAATCTCTATTTTCCCAAGTTCTTCAAATTCTGCCAGATCCCTCGAGACAAACGAGATGTCCCCCAGGCTCTGAAGACACTGGAGACTTGTGGAGTGCTGGACACATCTTCCAAAATTGACGTCGTCGATGTCGGAGAAGGTGTTCTTGACGCACCAGTCAAGATTGCTCTTGATTCTCTTGACGATGGAATTGGAGAGGACGATGCCAGCGTCCAGGGAGCAGTGGCCAGGGTCATCTTCCAGGGGGAGGCCCATGTAGACGTCTCTGGAGACGGATATCTTTTCCAGAAGATCATTCAGTCGTCTTCCGCTGATGTAGGACGTGTCCTTGACGATAAAGTAGAAGTCGTACTCCTCGAGGTAATTGTCGGTGATGTATTTGATGATGTGAAAAGGCTTCAGCAAGTCTCGGGTGTCGGTGAAGCCGACGATCCCTGGAAGACTGACGTTTGGCTTCGACCCTTCGGGAATTGTGATGAAGTAACGAATTCTGTCCACTAGGTGAGCTAGGGTCTTGTTCAAAGCGATTCCCCGGGTATGCAGGTGCTCCCGAGAGGACGAAACTCCCACGAAAAGTCTCTCCCGGATTCCTAACTCTGTTGAATAATATCGGGGACGGATCAGAGATTTCGGTACCTTTTGAGGAAGTCTGGGTTTCTGTGCAAGGTTTATTTTCGGGAGGTACTCATCCGTTGGATCCTGCGCAGGCATTGGCGCCCTAGAATTCAGTTTTTACGATTCGATTCAATTCTTCTATTATCCTGATATTTTTTTTGTTTTTTCAAATTGTGAGGATTTCGGCTAATAACAATTAAATTACCAAGACTCATCGGCGGGTGAATTGGCATCGCTACTCTCGGAGATCTCCAAGGGAGACATGAAGAGACTTAGACTGAGACCCAGACAGACACCGATCATCAGGTATCCATTTCCCCGACAGGAATTCCACGTCATCTTCACCAGTTTTCCCATTACTCGGTGAATTGTAAATAATAATCCTGTCCCGACATAAACTCAAACGAGTGCATCCAATAAATCATGAGATTCCGAATCAATGGATCCACTGTTTATGATCCAGCATCCAGAGGATTCAGAGACATTGAGACTTCAAACGCCACGACACCTATTGCGCCCTCAGTAAACTTCATAGTCTGCGCTTCTTTCTGGATGATCACTGCGCCACCTAAAGAGTTGTTAACTATTTTTTATTCTTTCTGTCTTCGACAACACGTAAACATGGCTCCGGTGAGTTTGGTCTCCGTTGAAAAATTAAAAAAATCCTGATTTATTGTAAAATATCACCGAAAAATATCGCTGGGATAATAACGAGTGATTGCTGGCCAACGCCATGGAATTATTTCACTGAATTATTAGTAATGGATGGGTCGGATTTAAGTGGATTATTTTTGTGAGGGTTAGAGCGGCAGATTTCAATGTCTCAACTCACATGGCGATGTGATAACCATGGTTTTCTCGATTTTTCCAGCAAGTCGCTGCCAAGAAGCCAGCCAAGGCTATTGTTGCGAAAAAGCAACATCTTAGGGGAAAAAGCCAAAAGAAAAAGGTTTCCCTCAAGTTCACCATCGACTGCACACACCCTGTTGAGGATAACATTATGGATGTTGCCAGTTTTGTAAGTAGCACTTGTCAAAAATTTCTACCAAAAATAATCTGTTGTAGCATTCTATTATTAATTTTTAACATTAATATATCGATGATTTTCATAGGAAAAGTACCTCCAGGAAAAAATAAAGGTCAACGGCAAGACGGGAAACTTTGGAAATAATGTGAACTTGGAGCGAAATAAAAATAAACTCTCTGTCAACAGCGACGTCGATTTTTCCAAGCGGTGGGTATCGATCTTTCTCAGAATTAATTAATCCATATGAATGATTAAAAAGTGAAATATTCATTGAGCTCCTGTGTTCATCCCCGATCAAGTGAGATCGATGAGAAGATCGATATTTGCACTAATCAAGAGGCATTTATTTGTGCAGGTATCTCAAGTACCTCACGAAGAAGTACTTGAAAAAGAACAAACTTCGTGACTGGCTCCGTGTTGTCTCCAAAGACAAGGACACCTACGAATTACGTTACTTCCAAATCACGAGCCAGGAAGACGATGACGAAGATGACGCAGAGTAAATTTTCCTCTAACTCTCTTTTATCCAACACGTCTGACATTTACTGTATGTTTTTCAATATAATAAATGTTGAGAATTTAAATAAGCATTTTTCTTCATTAATTTCCTTTCCTCAAATTCGATAATATAAAAATTGATGTTTAAAATAAAAGATCTTTCTTTTTCATTGAAGCTTAAATTGAATTCGATGCAATAATTGCGTCATTACGTCACAGAGAGTCACGTGCCTCGTACCCTCCCGAAATGTCAAAAAAAACCTTTAAATTAAAATGCCTCAAAAAAAGAAAAATCCGAGGAATTTCCTTGAAATGGCCTTTCGTGCAAAATTGCCACTTTCAGTCGAGATCGATACGTCTGATTATCAAGTCTATGAAAGAAAACATTAAAATTTCTGGAGGTCCGGAGGAACTATTTTTCTAAGCGTAGTAGCAACTGCGCACGCGCAAGATGATGTTATGACAGTTGCAGATGTCCGCTGATTTCTCAGTCATCGAAGTGATTGTCTCAAAGGAAGTTTATCCCTTTGCTATTTACCTCGATAAAATTGTCCAAGAACCTCTCAAATCCATTGAAAAACAATCAAGAGCCGTTTAAATAGAAAAATCTTCGTCTTCACGTGCAAAAAAAAATGAAATTTCAATATAAAGAGGAACATCCCTTCGAGAAACGAAAGGCCGAGGGCGAGAAAATTCGACGAAAATATCCGGACAGAGTCCCAGTAAGTCATCACATCTCGAAAATCTACCTCTTTATTTCATTCACCCACAATTTGGCATTTCTCCGATTTTCCCAATCTCATAAACATCGAAAAATCAGGGGATAATCATGAGTTAGGACTTTTCCCCTGTCGATGACGACACTAATGGACTCCGGAGCACACAAACACTCGTCTACGTCACCAGATTCTTTTGTTTCCTCATTTTTCCTGGCTTTCCCAGGGATTTAATAATAATTCCCATTTTTTCCCGACCTTCGACCCTGCTCTGTCCCTATTTTCAACTCATGGAAGGATTTTTTTGGCACCAGCGAGGGGCAAATGCGGGGGGGGGGGGGTTCTACGCCGTACATACGAGGAATAAACACAAGGTGAAACGAGTGTGTTTATTCCTATTACCAGTTCTGTCATGTGTAAATCGAAATCTTTGATTTATGAAAAAAAAAATCAATGAGATAGGTATCTGGGGATAATGTCTACACTTATCTTCAATGATTCGCTTATTTATTTCGGTAATTGGTGAGAAAGCAAAGGCCTAAGTCATAAAAAAAGAGAGAGTTTATTTTTCAGTAGAGATTTTATAGGGTTTGTGGATGATCTGGGGTTTTTTACTGTTGATTATTTATTTAGGTAATTGTTGAGAAAGCACCAAAGGCCAAGATCAGTGACTTGGACAAGCAGAAGTACCTGGTCCCCTCTGATCTAACGGTAGGTCAGTTCTACTTTTTGATTCGTAAGCGCATACATCTGCGTCCTGAGGATGCACTCTTCTTTTTCGTAAACAACATCATTCCACCCACAAGTGCCACTATGGGCTCTCTCTACCAGGTAAATCAGTATCACGATTGTTTTATTTTCGGATTTGGCATTTTTCCACAATCTTGGGATTGGGACGAAGGCCTTTATCAATATCAACCATCTGCATTGATTTCGAGACAGTCGTCAAGGCGATGAGAGATTCTCTTTTAAAATTCTCCTGCACTTTTCAAAAAGATATAAATTTTTCTCAAGTAACTGCAATTTATAGTAATTTCTGCATTTTTTCATCGTAAATGAAGAAAAAGAGAAATTTCGACAGTTTTTTTAGGATAAAAAAAAATATTATTTTCACAGGAACACCACGAGGAGGATTGCTTCCTCTATATAGCATACAGCGACGAGAACGTGTATGGACACTAGATCGTCCGCATTTTCCACCATGACGCACCATATCCCCACGAGAAAATAAATCAGACGAATAATTTCACAGTCTAGAGTCTGAAAATTTCCAGAAATGAGTGATAAAACTCGAAATCCATTTTAGATAATGAAAAAAAGAATAACTATCCGAAAAATAATGATTTATCATGAAAAATTACTATTTCGATTCCAAAATCTAGTCTATTTAATCACTCTCTCAAGATTGCTCTCCTGTCACTCATTAAATTCTATTGAAAAGTATTTTGCTTGGAGCTGATGTCAAGTATGCAATGAGTGAAATAAAATTGACAGATGATTTCCACGGGATGGTGGAAGAGAAACGGCTAGAATTTCATTAGAAAATATCAATGCATTCGTCGCAGGGATGAAGCAGTGTAAAAAAAATAATTGAAAAACAATTTTAAAAACGATAAAATTCATAAAATCGGCGTGATAATTTTTATTTCACTATTAGGCTAATGTTGCTCTTGTATTTTCAATAAGTATAATGTTATCTTTTAGTTTATAAAAAATGGCGCTCGCTTGATTGATATGTCAATTAAATTTATCGTTTAAATTTCTCAACAGAAATATTTACAGCTCTAATTAATCTTTTTAATTTAATGGAATGGTGATAAAACGTAAATTATGTGGTGAAAATCGAGTTATAATCATTGTATTAATTCAGTGGAAATTTGATTGCGATGGAAAGTGATTAATCGATGGAAACGCCAATAAAACGACAAAAAAACGACAAAAAAATGTTAAATAGGACACGATTAGTTGACGATTTTCTGGGGGTAATGTATCTTCAGGTATTCCCTTTGTACTTCCCACATGATTTCTTTGAATAATTTAATTGTTTTCCTTGAATTTAACGTCGTGTTTGTCCCATCGGCTCGAAAGAGCTTCGAATCGGATTTAACTGCAGTTCATTCTCGATATTTGTTGGGAAACTATATTTTATGGATTTTTCAAAAATGGAAATTTCTGTTTGGAATTCGAGCAACAAAACTGATCGTTTCGTCCCATCGGTGTTTTCCATTTCGATGGAGGACAGCAGTTGGATAGTCTCGAGTTCTTTTATTATTTTCACGATGCAAACGGGTTTTGGAATGCTGGAGTCCGGCTGTGTTTCTCTGAAGAACGAAGTGAACATCATGATGAAGAATGTGGTAGACATATCCTTGGGGGGACTGACCTACTGGGCATTCGGTTATGGGATGAGTTTTGGGCTTGATGCCCCAACAAATCCCTTCGTGGGGACAAGTGGATATCTTCTGGATCCTCTGGTATCCGATGAACTCATGGGCCAAATGTGTGCAGCTTTTCTCTTTCAGTTGAGTTTTGCCACAACTGCAACGACAATTGTCAGTGGTGCCATGGCTGAGAGATGTAACTTCAAGGCGTATTGCATATTCTCTTTTCTCAATACTGTCGTGTATTGTATACCCGCTGGATGGGTCTGGGGAGATCATGGATTTCTCAATCATTGGGGGGCGGTTGATATCGCAGGATCTGGTGAGCAATAATCTCCTCCTCATCCGGCAATCAGCAATAATTAATAATTAAATTGTAGTAATAATATGGCGAATTAATCCAGGAACTGTTCACCTGGTGGGTGGAGTTTCAGCCTTGGCCTGTGCGATGATGCTGGGCCCAAGGTTGGGAAGATACGATGATGGGTTCGATGCTCTACCCCTGGGCAGTCCTGTCAATGCCATCCTGGGTTTGTTCGTCCTGTGGTGGGGCTGGTTAGCCTTCAACAGTGGCTCTTCTTATGGTGTCACTGGGGATAAATGGAAGTACGCAGCCAGGGCGGCAGTTTCTACGATGATGGGGAGTATGGGTGGGGGCCTGGTGGGCCTTGGATTCAGCCTGGCTAGTCCCAAGGGCATCGACATCCTCAGCCAGATAAACGGAATTCTCGGATCTCTAGTGGCTGTCACTGGAGGTTGCTTTCTCTTTCGAACATGGGAGGCTGTCATCGTGGGGATGATCGGGGGTTTTTTTACGTGTGTCACGATGCCAATCGTCGACAGAATGAGAATCGATGATCCTGTTGGAGCTTTTGCTACCCACGGTTCGTTCCATTTTCCGAATAACCCCAAAAACCTTGATGATATTAAATTATTTACTAAATCAATGAATAAGGCATGACAATTCTGGTATTCAGGAATTTCCGGGGCCTGGGGAATGATCTCCATTGGATTATTTGCTGATGATCCTAAACCTCTGGAGACAACTGGGGGTAGGAGGGGTCTTCTCAAGGGTGGAGGGTGGTATCTCCTGGCAATTCAATGTCTCACTGTTCTTTGCTTGAGTACTTGGTCATTTATCACATCGTGGATTATCCTCTGGGTAAAAATATACAGAAGCCTTCCACCAATTTTTCTATTTCTACCGTCTAATTTTTTTTTATAGTTTGTTGATTCAGTAATTCCCATTCGAATGCCACAGCACGAGGAACTGCTCGGGGCTGATCTAGTCGAACATCAAGTGAAGCACTCAAAGGTGAGATTAAATAGACAAATTCCTCATAAATTCATTCACTTTCTTACCCGAATGAGAAAATCGAGGGTTCTCGTTTTATTGCGCCAGTACTGAATTTTCTCTGGTGTTCAGATTGGAGTTTCCAGGGCAATGTCAGCTCTGAAACCCTTCTCCAGGCACAGTCGGCTGCAGGAGGTGCCTTCGGTAGGATTAAATCCTGGGCACGAGTCCTATTTGGAGAAATATATAAAAACGAAGAAGCTCAATAAATTATTGAAGCTTATGCACTTAAAAAAGGAGAAGCAGAAAATTCATGTGGACCTCAGGACCATCCAGACACCACCTGGGTCTATCAGTGTTCTCCCTGTGGCCTGGCATAATTAACTTCCTCCTCTCCAATATTGCCTAATGTCTAACTAATTATTTAATGAATTGTAATTAATTCACAACTGATACAGAGAACGCCGGTGGCTTTTTGAAAATAAATAAACATTTTTTTAAGATGTTTCAGTACTTCAGACGAACAATAGTGAAATACAATTTAGAATCGAAACACATGTCGATCACAACCTGGGGGGCTTGAGAATTCATTAATGCCCGGATTGAAGAGAAAAAAATCAATAAGGAAATCGAAACGCGAGTGGCATACGTGACACGATTGGAAATTGCTTTATAATTAAATGTCTATTTCTTTAAATACATTTTCATTGTTGTCCTCTCACTTTCTGGCCAGTTGTACGCATTTTCTCCTGTCGATGGGACAATTTCTAAACTCGAGAGTGTCAATAAATTCGATCGACGACAATAAATAGCAGATTATAAAAATAGTTTATAGAAAAAAAAAACTTTTTCAAATGAAATTTCTGATTTATCATTTTTTAATTGTGGAATCGGTAGAAAATCGGTTATTTTAGTGATTATTCAGCTTCTTCCCTTCTTTTTCAATTTTTTATTTCATTATTTCTTCAAGTGTTTTCCTCTATTTTTTAAAATACATCTGAAGTGTTTTTGCACTCAATTACGATGAGCCGAAAATCACATATTGTTCAATCATTCCGTCGTAATGCGTAAAAGAAATCACAGGGTTTTGCTAACTGCCAATGAAAAAAAGTTTCTCATTTTTACTTGACATATTTTCCATTACGTGTAATTACTCGAAATCATGAACAATAATTAATCAATAGAAAATTGAAATATCTAATAAAGTGATTCACCGATAAATTGTTAAACATGGTAAGAGAATACTCCTTTTGAAAATGAATAAATTGAAATAATAAAAAAAAAAACCAATTGTTTCTTATAGTGGGAGCGAGTTGTGAGTAATCCCTGGATTATTCCAGTAATTCTGATAATTATTTGTGGAATCTGGAGACTGAAAAATTATCTCCGAGCTGTTACTATGGTATTAACAATGAATGGGCCAAAGATTGTTCCATTCCTGGGGAATACCGGGTATCTCTACGACGATAACCGTGAGTTACTGATTCGAGACAGCAATCAACTGCAATAAATATTTTTATCCAAGTTTAATACCTCTTCTATAAATTTATTAATAAATTATTCAGTACTGAAAACAATGTCCCACATGGCGTATGCCATGTACGGCTCTTCGTTCCGTCTCTGGGTGACAGTTCTTCCCTTCGTGGTACTCCTGGAACCCCAAGACATCCAGCAAGTACTCGGAAGTTCAAAGCACACCGACAAAGTACTATTCTACAAATTGCTGCATAATTTCCTGGGTAAAGGCCTCATCACGAGTGATGTATTAACATGGAGAGCCCATCGTAAGATACTCCAGCCGATTTTCCATGTCAATGTTCTTGAGCAATTTGTGAGAATTTTTAACAACTCAGCGGGAAGTTTGGTCAAGTGCCTGGAGGAATCTAGAGATCTAGGCATTGACATCACTCGTGTAGTCAATGATTCTGTTTACGAAATTCTCAATGGTAAAATCTATTCTTCATCTCCAAAGGGGTTTCTTATATTCCCAATTTGGATAATTGAATAAACAAAAAGAGGTGTGCATTTTATTTGCAGAAACAGTCCTAGGGAATACAAATAAATCTGAGATATCGAGCTCGCCATTCCGAAGGGGACAGCTGCTCTTCTCCTACAGGTTGACCCATCCTTGGCTCCTTCTGGAGTGGATTTATCGAAGGACAAGTCTCGGGATGTGCGAGCAGAATCACCGGAAGGATCTCACCCTCGCATGCCAGAAAGTGCTCAAGTCCCCGAAGAATTCCGCGAGTATTTCACTCCTGAAGCTTATGATCGAGGCAAAGGAGAAGCACCAGAATTTCAGTAATGAAGATATAATTAACGAGTGCTGTACTTTCATGCTGGCTGGACAGGATTCGGTGGGCTCGGCAGTCGCTCTTAGCCTTTTTATGCTTGCCAAGCACAAGAAGTGGCAGGGAAAGTGCCACCAGGAGCTCGAGAGAATCTTCAGAGGCGATGAGAGACAACCGACACTTGGAGATCTTCGAGAAATGCGATATCTCGAAATGAGTATCAAAGAGACCCTCAGGATGTATCCCAGTGTTCCTTTCTTCGCCAGAACCCTAGGAGAAGACATACAAGTCGGTGGGTCGAGTCGATCTATCTCGTGATTCACTAATTTTTTAGATACGTCGATGCCTACGCTTTCTCCGAGAGCCTTTTTAACAAATGAATTTAAATATTAGATAATTGATAATAAATATTTATTCCAGGGAGTAGAATAATTCCAAAGGGCTGTGGTATACTGATAATGCCTTACAGTACTCACAGGCTTCCTCATCATTACCCAAATCCCCATGAGTTTAATCCAGAGAGATTTAACTCAGAAAATTCATCGAAACGGCATCCCTACGCCTATTTGCCGTTTAGCGCTGGCCCAAGGAATTGCATCGGTAAAAATCCCCGTTTTCCCGAAATAGACGGGAAATTTTTACTCTGATCATTTTTCAGGGTACAAATTCGCCATGTTGGAGATGAAGGCGATAATCAGCGCAGTTTTGCGACGATTTCACCTGGACATAGCCCCCGGGAGGGAGGAAATCACCCCGAAGTTTCGAGTTACCGTCAGGGTAAAGGGAGGAGTTTGGATTAAGGCTCACCCCAGGGATAATCCTTAATATAAAAAACCAGAAGGACATTTAGATAAATAATAAAACAAGATGTTATGTAATTCTTTTATTGAAATACATAAAACATTATTATTGCTCTTTAATAGAAAATTGAATTTTGAAGAAAAGCATTCTCACCCCCTTCAGGGAGTGAATGGTTTTTTTTTCTAATTACATATTTTTTCGGTTTGGGTTGGTTGTATTATCGTCTCGTGGACGAATATCTGTGAAACCAATGGATGGGTGATAGAAAAAAAAATTCTCCCATTCCATCGGGCTTGAAAATTTAGAAGGCGCGCGTTTCATCCCCTCATTACCCTTCAAAACCCACCCAAAACCCAGAGTAAATGAATGTAAGTGACTTCTAAACCTAAACCTAAACCTAAACTGCTCCAAACCCAAACAAATTCGGTATTACCATAAAAAAAAGTGATTAACCCCGGAACAAAAGTCCAATTATCCAGTGACAAGTGGAGAAATCAGTGGAGTGAGTTGATGAGGGATCAATACTCCAGTTTGAAGTTCTATTTTTGTCCGGTTGAAGGTTATGTGAGGCACCAACGATTTTATCACTTGCAGAAGCTGACGAGATTGTTATAGAGTGATAATAAAAGTAGAGATATATCTTGGAAAAATGAGCAAGAAGAAGAGCATGGCCATTGACTTCCAGGACAACATGATCCTGCTGACCAGGAAGTACCTCAAGAGGAAGATCCTCTGTCCTGAAACCAAATTTCGACATCATGCCAAAGAAAGACAGAATGTTCTGGAGCTGCTGAAGAGGACTGTTGAGGCTGGTGAGAATAATATTGGGATTCACAGTGGTTAAACAAGTCGATTAGATGAATGTGTAAATGTTTTTATTTTCAGGGGAGAGTAATTCAGCTCTGCTGATTGGGCCTCGAGGGAGTGGCAAGACTACTCTTGTGAATTCAGTACTGAAGGAGCTGTCAGTTTCGAAATCCTTTAAGGAAAATGCGCTCATCGTCAATCTCCATGGTCTCGTTCACACAGACGATCGTCTCGCCCTCAAAGACGCCACCAGGCAAATGCAGCTAGAGAATGTCGTGGGGGACAAAGTTTTCGGAACTTTCGCTGAAAACCTCACATTCCTCCTGGAGTGCTTAAAGTCAGGGGACAAAAAGCGAACGAAGCCCTGCATTTTCATTCTGGACGAATTCGACCTGTTCTGCGCCCACCAAAATCAGACTCTCCTTTACAATCTCTTCGACGTGGCCCAGTCATCACAAGCCCCTATTTGCGTTCTCGGAATTACGTGCCGACTCGACGTCATCGAATTGCTTGAGAAGAGGGTGAAATCGAGGTTCTCGCACAGGCAGATATTCTTGTTTCCTGGTGAAAATTCCGTGGGTGAACAGCCCACAACTGCCTTCGACGATCGTCTTGAGCTCTTCAAGGATCTTCTCAGTATTCCAGATGACGAGAATGTCAACAGGATTGAGGAGACATACGAGGACTGCACTATTGATCCACAGTTCGGGGCAATGTGGAATGATTATGTGGAGAGTCTTATCAATAATGTTACAATGGTAAATCTGCTGAAGAGGATGTATCAGATTGACGTGAGTGAGAGGAGCTTTAGGAATTTTCTAGGTGTTGCTGTTGGAACACTCGATGAAAAGCATCAGAGGCTTGAGGTAAACGACTTCGTCGAGGCCAGCAAAATGTTCACAAGGGACGATAAAGTTGCCATGTTGGAGGGCCTCTCCGTCCTGGAGATGAGTTTGATTATTGCAATGAAACATGAGACTGAAATTTACGATGGCGAGCCATTGAACTTCGAGACTGTCTTCAATCGATACGTTAAATTTGCTAATCAGACGTCCTCTATTCAAACCGTCCAGAGGCCAGTGATAATGAAAGCTTTCGAGCACATTAAGAATCTAGAGCTTCTCGCTCCTGTGAATGCAACAGCGAGAACAGAAAAGGAGTACCAGTACTTTAAATTTCTCCTGACCCCGCAGCAGGTGCTTGAGGCAGTGAAAAATTATGTGGGACTGCCCACAGAAATTGCCCAATGGGCAACAAACAGCCTGCAATAAATTATTTCTCCTTCCCTGATAGCAGGAAAACACAATCAGGATCATGTGCCATTTTCTAAGAGAAAATTTAGTTACAGTTGATTGAGGTAATTATTCATCAATTATCGAATTCATGAAAAATAGGTGAGATGAGTTATTAGAGGGATTAATGATAATCATGCTAATTGAGTAATGATATTGATAGGATATATCTGTGTTCATCTTGCTCACGAGTTCAATATTTCTATAGTGGAATTGATGGAGAAGAGATGGAGTGGAATGATAAATATTGCATCTAGCTGATATGTGGAATCATTGAGCCTGGGGGAAAATTTCGAAGACGCTCTTGTGGAGATATTCCACTAAAAATTGTCTTTATTACTCGCGAATTAATATAGATTTTTTCAATAATCTCTTCGCTCATCGGTTCAATACTCATTTCAATTGTTATCAATTTATTAAAATTGATGGATCATTTTTTATTTGAGGTCCTTCACACTTTGTAGTACAATTCTATTGATTACTCAAAGATTATTGAATGAACTAGTACAATTTTGTAGATAAGTCGAGTCATTAACATATCTTCATCAATAGCATTTATTTAAAGTCATTTATAAATCAGGCATTTAATTATTTATTGAGTATTCATTAGAGAAATCAATCTCAGTAATTTTAGGCTAGTTAATAATTCAAGTGATTAAGGTAGAATCCTCGATTATAATTGAGGAGATAGATGAGAAGGTTGCATTTTTTCATTGCGTGATCAATTGAGTTGATTGTAAATATCTGCAGTTGCTCTTTTTAAACTTGATGACTAAATTTTAAGAATTTTTTTAGCACCGGTATTTTTTATTTTTCATGTAGAGGAACTGTGAAACGTCCGTTGCAATTCGTCCGAAATTTAAGGGAAATTATAGAATGGAAAAAACAGTACAATAATTATGTCCTCAGCAGTCAATTTGGCAACGAAAATGAGGTGGATAAATAACTGTGTATTACTATTTGTATACAACAAGATGAAATCATTTAATCGTGGAATAACTCTGTATGCGAAAGACAAATTCATTGGGTCTGTTTGTACATTTCTAATAAATTTCAAACTGAAGAGTCAAATTTTCTAAATGCCTCAATATTTTTCAACAAATTACTCATATATTATTAATTCATCCCTCGAATTCCATTTTTCTCATCGCAAATTGCGTCAATTGTTTTTGACAAGTCTGATTATTTTTGTTTATGTTATTTTTCGCTTTCCGACAAATGCGTCATTGAAAAAATCTCCTTGACGTTTAATCCTTGCAAAAAATACCTTGTAATTATTCATATATATATTCTTGCATCTATAAATGCCCTCGAATGATGCGCTCTTATCAAACAAAGAACCGATAAGACCATCGGCATAATCATTCATCCGTCAACAATGAAAATTCGATACATTTGAATGCGCGCCAATGGGCGCGCGCCTCTCCCCTCCACCCGAAAACTTCCGGGAGCCAGGGGCGGCGATTTACAAATGAATTTGTTGAGTTCCGTGTCGTTTCGTATCAGTATTCCACAGGTTGTCAGCTATTTCGGGTAGTCTACCCTAGAATAGATTTACAATAGATTCCCAGAAATTGTGTCTTCACCCTGAAGTGAAAAAAGCTCCGAAGATGTTTTTAAAACAGTGAAATTCCACTCAGACAATTTTTTTCACTGCAATCTCATTAGCATAATTGGTCGTCATGCTTCGATTTTATTTTTTCATAGCTCTTACTATTCTCCCCTCGTCCAGAGCTGATGATCAACAGCTGGGATCTGTCATTCTTGCTCATGTTGTAAGTTTTAAATGATTTAGTCTCGGGAATGCATTCACCTCCTTCAGCGAATGCTGAAATTTTTCGCTATAACCTTGAAGCTTTCACTAGACGCCGTTTCACTGATTGCGTTAGGCAAATGGGGTATCAAGGGCAAGGTCAAAAGTGCAAGTGAAGACAGCAGTGGGGGGCAATCTTTCATGAAAATTAGATTATTATGACATTTTTATCACGAAACTAGAAAGAAAACACCAGGATATCTATTTGCGTACGATAGATGAGAGGAAAAATACAAAATTTCTAAAACTTCCAAAACTCTAGTTCGATTGGTCAATTTTATTCGTTTTATACACCACACGACTCACACGACGTATGAGTTATTGATTTATCTCAGAATTATTATTTTTTTTTTAATTTTAGCTGTTCAGACATGGGGACCGAACACCGGTGGATCCTTATCCTAACGACCCCTGGAGGAATGAGTCACTCTGGCCTGTGCCCTTTGGACAATTGACAAATGTAAGAAATCATTCACAAATAATCCATGGGGTCGAAGTTACTCAATCGAATTAAATTGCCCCTCTCTTTGGAAAATAATTCCCGATGCACCGGATGCCTTTAAAAGCCGCAAAACTCCTTATCTGCAATTTGAACAAGTGTCTCGCGATAATGTAGTCTAATCGCCGTTGTAGTATGTCAATTTGTCATACTCGTGATTAATTGGCGAAATTTTGTATTCAGCTGGGAAAACACCAGCACTTGGAGCTCGGCCGATGGTTCAGGGCGAGATACGATCACATGTTACCCCGTAAATATTCTCCCTACGATATTTACGTGAGGAGTACAGATATGGATCGAACATTAATGTCGGCAGAGGCAAATCTCGCAGGACTCTATCCACCTGTGGCCGATCAGGTGTGGGATGAGCTCAAGTGGATGCCAATACCCGTGCACACGGTACCTGAGAAACTGGACAATGTTGTCTCTGGGAAAAAATACTGCGCCCGGTACAACTATGAGTATAATCGTGTTCTTAATTCCCCAGAGATTCAAGGAATCGTCCAGAAAAATCAGGAGCTCTTTGATTATCTCACGAGAATGGCAGGGAAGAGGATAGCCGACCTGGAGCAGCTTAATTTTCTATACAACACTTTATTTATTGAGGGTCTTTATAATAAAAGTTTACCAGTCTGGACCAAATCTGTTTATCCTGATAAGCTAGAACCACTCGCAGCCTTGAGTTTCACGACAATGGCGTACAATAAAATTCTGCAAAGACTTAGAATGGGGCTGTTAATGAAAGAAGTGGTTAACCACATGAGTGAGAAATCAAAGAACGCTCTCGTACCTGACAGAAAGTTGTTCGTGTATTCAGCACACGACGACACTGTGGCCAATCTCCTGATGACTCTGGGGCTCTTTCAACCCCATTGTCCCCCCTATACAGCAACGATCCTCATAGAATTGAGACTGAACTCCAAGAGGCAACACATTGTCACGATATCATATAAGAATTCATCAGAACCAATCCTGCTCACCCTGCCAGGCTGCATTCCAGCCTGTCCTCTTTCCCAATTCATCAAATTGACCAAAGATGTTATCCCAGAGGACTGGGACAAGGAGTGCACCATAAATTGGGACACATATGGCGTTGATTTCAGTATTTCTACCATTTTAGGTAATAAAATCGTGAGGATAACTTTATAGACTATTTTAATAATAATTATCTGTATTGTCCTCAGGTATTATGACGTTCGCCATTCTGCTCCTAATTTTTGTGGTACTCCTCATCATCTCGTTCGTATTTTGGCATTATAAACGAGTTCACAATCAGTATTATACCCCTCTCTCCACCGATCCAATTTAATTTCTTATCAAATTGGACAAGACAAATGAGAGGACAATCTATGATGTTAAATCGATTTTTGCATACGTATATTCGACCAAGGGGCCCATGGACTCATCTACCTCATGAAGGATATCGAGAGTTATTTCTTAGTCTATCTCTCTCGATGCGTACTTGATAATAACTGAGATTCATCGAATCAAAGGCCAAAAATATTTTTAAATGATAAAAACCGTATTTTTGAGGGAATTTTAGGGAGGGGGGGGGGGGGGGGGGGGGGGGGGGGGGGGCGTGGAGTATTTCACTCTGAATGCATTTTTTGAATAACGAGTCAAATGAATTCACATTACGAAATTTAAAAAAAAATTGTTTTAAAACCTCTTGGGTGTATTTATGCGCAATGCAGATGTATTATCAATATCAAATCGATGTTGATATATAATTCTATGTGATAATAAAACAATGAATAACAGAACATATTATGCTTTATTTGAATTAAAAAATAATTTGTGTCGAGGGGAGGTTAGTAATGGAGGAGAACATTTATTTTTGGTGAATATTTCGGAATCCAAGGGAAATGGTGAAATTTTTGTAGGAAATTTCTTCTACCTCGTGAAATTTCTCACAAGATTTCTCCTACGAAAAATTCCGAATTTCGCGTCAGTCCTCGGATATTCCTCAATAATTCATGAATAAAAACTGTTTCATTTGACTTTATCCCTTCATTACTAATCTCCTTTATTAATAAAAAGAATTATTCTAGTCGGAGAGTGTTGTAGCTTCCATTCAGATTTTCCTGGATTGAAAACGCCGGGTTGACCCTAAAAATAATTAAATTCGCAGAATAAACCATAAGCCAAATTATCCTGAAGAGATAAAACGCGACAAGTCGATGGATCGACCAAGTTTTCAAATATCTCGGAGTGGATCTATCGAAAATAGGGATAAATATAAAAAGTAAATTTCGATGGGCGATAAAATTTCCCACAAAAAAGTCTAGTCAATTTCCTCTCTTGCACTACTCAGTGCTGAGATATTCGGGCGAACACAAAATCGATCAATCGAAAGTACTCGACGTTTTATTCGTTTAACACATATGGAAATGTCTTTAATTACAAGATTTTGTCTTATAGTAATTGATACCTACCTTCATCAGCTAAATTTATATCTGGCATTCGTCGCAAGGCCATGCTATCGAACGTGAGTCAGGAAACAGTGTTAGTTACAATATAGTTTTTCATTTTCTGAGGCATTAGAATATTAACGAGTTAATAACTTTTCCTGCTGCATTTTTACGATTATCGCCCTCATAACAAACATTTTGCAACAAGTCACTCAAATGTATTTGACGAAAACCGATGTAGTAAAGATGAAAACGACTAATCATCAGTTAGATTTTTATTATATCATAGAAAAAAATACTTTCCCATCTCCAAATTCAATAATTTATCTCTGTGATATTTCTTGGTACATACCACGATGATATGAAAGACTTCAGACGTCACAGATGCTCACGAAAGCAACCAACACATTATTCTCATTATTATCCTCATCGTTATCCATGATTGGCGATTTAATTGCGTGGAAAATCCACTAAAATCACAGTCTCTAAGAGTCCAGAGACGTCTCCGAGGTGTTATGAAAACTGGGAATAAAATAATTCATCTTTTCAAATGATAAAAAATATCCTGAAGGATCTAATTCCAGAAAACCGAGGGTTTTTATTTACTGAAGCTATTGGGATCATTGGAAAAGGTTTATTTATTAATAAGAAAATTAATAGTAAATACAATTTCCAATGGGAACGATTTCCAAACAATTCCGATAGAGTTCCAATAGAGATACTAAAGGATTCAATTAAATTTATAAGGCTACAATAATACCATAGCATTCTTAAGACATTTGTTAGTTTTATTTACAGAGATAATGAGTTAATCATTTGGCTAATTAGCTTTCTACTTAGATTTATTGATTTTTACAATGATTTAACCCTGAGAATGAGGACTCCAAGCCCTAGACATTATTAATTTACAATGACAAACGAATTATGCATGAACAATAAATTGGCAACAACTGGTCGGCAATGTTAGGACGATGAATAAGGCACAGGCACCTCCCAGCTTCCCCATAAAACCACAAGCCACCCATGATATGAGAATCACTTAGACAGATTAAAAAACTATAGCTTCTCTTATTCTAAGTTGAATTAACAAAATTTTAATAGATCTTTGTTATTTGGCTGAATTTCTTGTAATATCCACAGTCTTACCTGGCGTAGACTGCTGGATTGGTCAGAGCAAAACTCATTTCTGCTGGACCCCCGACGTATTTAGCGATCAATCTATTTCTCGTGAGGCATTCAGCTCCCATTGCCACAGCCATGTGTATAACAAAGTAGAGGCAGAAACCGAGATAAATAATAGCGTAGATCACTATTCCAAGAATGACTTCCCAATTTGGATTAGGAAGTTTCTCCTTCACTTGTTGAGTTACGAAGAATATATTAATTGCAATTACTGCAGCTGACAGTAACGTGGCAATAACTTTATTGAATATTCCATTTTTGAATTGTCCCATGATTTGTTCACTACTGGTGAAGGCTAGAGTTGGAAGAGTAGCAAAGGGAAGTTGAAGGGTCATGACAGCATTGAGGACCTCATTCATGCCCCCAAGATCGCTGAGGCTAGCGTACGAAGCGACGAAAAATGTTGGCACGATTGCAATAGTCCGAGTGAAGAAGACTCTCTTCCAACGAGCCCACTGGAGATTCAGAAAGCCCTCCATGGCGAATTGCCCAGTGTACGTTCCTGTCATTGTGGATGACTGACCAGCAGCCAAAATGCCAATCGCCCATATATACATTGCAGCTATTCCAAACTGACACCCTAGGAAAATTCCTCCTTTGTATAAATCTGCGTCTATCGGCGTGGAAAGATTTTTAAAGGTGTCCATTCCCAGGGTATCTCCAGCTGCTTCACACACTTTGTAAACATCGCTGTTCTTTTTCTGGAAAAGTCCATGAGCAAAAACAGCAACCACGAATACGTTGATGACGAACGATACGAGAAGAGCAATTATCGCCTCAACAAAAAAATACATGTTGGCTTCCTTTACTTTCTTGGGTTGTCTCCTGTCGATATCTCTAGACTGAAAAACAATGAGAATTAGAAATTATTTTCCCTCTAAAATTTACCAAAGCCCCTGGATTAAATAAAGTGTACATGCACCTTGACAAGTGCACTGTGGAGGTACAAATTATGAGGCATTATTACAGCCCCTACGATCGCCACAGCCTTGAGTAGAGCATCGCTGTCACACTCGTTACATAATGGAGTGAACATTCCCTTCATGACTTCCAATTGTGGTGGAGCCGAAACAACGTACTATAGCCAGAAAAATTTAATCTCAATTATTCATTCCATAAGTGTCATCAAAATTTGTAGTTTACCTCATAACCAAACGTTACAGCCATAATAGTAATTAAAAATCCGAAGAACAACTCGAGTTTCCTCAATCCATATTTATCGAGGAATAAAAACGTAAAAGTGTCAATGATAGTGATTAAAACACCTGCCCAGAGTGGAATCCTGAAAAAATAATCAATACAGGTATTTTTAATGACTTTCTCATAGAAAATTTTGATTATCTCGACTTATCAGACACTGACCAGCCCCCTGATAACAAATTGAGTGCAATGGCAGTGCCGATGACCTCTTGCATGTCACTGCCAATAATTGCAATTTCGATCATGAGCCACAGGAATATCCTGGGGACTGTTTTGTACTGTCTGTGGCACATTTCAGCTAGGTGAAGACCTGTTACAACACCCAGACGAGCACTCAGTCTCTGCATCACTAAACCGAGAACGGTTGCACCCAGTAAAACCCACAGTAGCTGGAAAACAAAAGTAAAATTAGTAGTTGGGGGCCTCAATCATTATTTGAGAAAGATAGGATTTCATTTGAATCTGTTCGAACTTTGTATTTGGCGGAAACTCCGGATTGGAGGTCGGATTCGATATTCCCAGGGTCGAGATAGGCTATAGACATCAGGAAGCCCGGCCCTGTGAAGGCCCATAATTTTTTGAAGCTGAAACTACCCTGGAGTGATGATAAAGAAAATATTAATTTTTTTGTGGCCCTCTCTTTTTTCTCTACATTATATAGGAAAAAATGTACAACAAACATGTCGCTATCACTTTAATCGCTATGAAAAAAAAAAAAAAATAGAAAAATAAATAATGTCCTCACAGTCTCAATCTCCGGAATTTGTATCTTCTCATCTGCAAAGTACGTTTGATTGGTCAACGGATTAAGAGAGGAATTTTCATTCAATTTCTGGGGACTACCGTTGGTCGGTGCTTTATTGACAGATCCTTCATCTCCACCTCCAGAGACATCCAAATTTTCAGTTGAATTATTCTCCATTCCAATTAATCTACTCTCTTTTAGGTTAATCCCTCGACAAATTCCACTTGATCTGTCAGGAAATTATTCACCTCGCCAACAATATCATCCACCAAGTAACAAAGGCATTCCCACAATGAAAGAAAATGTAAACAAAGGATCACTGCAATTTATTTCAATAATTAATCCATTTTTTGATATTATCACACTGCACCGAAATGAGGCAATCGATTCAATTTCTTGAGTAATTGGATTACGAAATTGTTGAGAGATAATGATTTTTATCGTTTGGTAGCATGTGAGCAGTGGCGATTGCACAGACTGCTGTTGTAGTAATAAATTGCAATTGCGATGAAAAAAATGAAAATACAAATATTCTCGACGACTGTTAGAGACACAACTGAGACCCAGTGACACACCAATTACATTTTACTCATTTTACTTCAGCCCCTCCACCTTATAAATTCCCCCTCCGCTATTTCCGTCGGATAACATTCCATGTAAAAGCCATTGAGCCTTCTCTTAGATGTTCTATTATAGGCGTTCATTATAAAATCCCATTTAGCAAAAATTTATTTAGTTTGAATGATAACAAAATAATACTACTTGATTATTAATATTTATTTTCATCAGAATAAAAATTGTCTAAAATCGGAGTAATTGCTCGGAAGATATTTCCACTCATTTCGTGAGTTTTGTTATCCATTTCCCTGATAATGTTTTTGTTATCAGTTTCCGAAGTCATGACAGCTTATAAACATTCAGGTTTACAGGAAAAATAATATTCGAGATTAATTCTGCTTATTTTTCCAGGTATAGATATTTGTGTTGTGAAATTTATTTTGCGCAGGTACGCCGGAGAATTCTGCAAAAGTATTTGTCCACATGGATGGAATTTTTTCAATAATTGTTACCGATTTATTTGAAATTATCGTTGATCTTAGAAATGATCGAGGATAAGATCGACCTGCACTTTCTCACGTCCCGTGATATCTAATCGTGTTTCTGATTAAATCCGACAACATGCCATCAATAACGTAATTATCAAAATTTGTAGAGATTTACTCGAAAATTCAAGCAAAAAAATACGAGTGAGTAATTGAAATTACATAATGAGCCTGTGGGGTTAAGGAAATTAAATGACTCATCATTCGGTGGTTTCATGATTTTTCCTCATTGGGAATACCCGACTGGGATGAACCAAACGTCAGCCGAATCCTAAATCATCAAGTAATTTTCATATTAACATTGATGTTCCTTGGTTTCAGAGATGAATAACGAGAGCTGTCGCATTAATGTTTTCACTGAGGCAAATTATAAGACTCAATCTCCTTTGTTTAAATTGAATATTTAAATTTTGCATTCCATACGCATTACATGTCATACTGCGATTAAACCGGCAATTTCACTGGCATTTAAATTTTCCATCTTTATCCTTCGGTCTTTGAAAAGTCTAGAAATATCTACGATTTTAACGAGAATCGAATAATTAATTTCAATTGAATTGATTGACGCGGGGGAAAAGCCCGCGGGTGATTTTTGTATTGTCGGTTGTCAAGGAGACGGTACCCGGCGTCGAATATTCACAACAAAAGACTCCAGTGTGTGATTTTTTGTTGAGTGTTCCTACAACGATCGTGTAAGTCCATTAAATTATGTCGGAGGAGGGGAAGCTCCAGGAGTCAGTGAAAAAAACCCAAGACCTCCTGGGGAAGTTCGTGAAAAAACCACCACTCACGGAGAAGCTCCTGAGAAAACCACCGTTCCGCTTTCTCCATGACATAATCAACGCGATAATCAAGGAGACAGGATTTCTCAAGGGTCTCTTTACGGATGAGGAGCTGATATCCTCTAACATTACCGACAAAGATGCTAAACTGGGTTACTTGACGAAGCTCATCGACGCGATGAAGTTAATAACAGGTCAGGAACTCTCGGTACGACCTTCGAAAATAGTCTCCGGTCAGGAACCCGTAAAGACAAATGAGCTCCTCCAGCTGATAGCCAAGTCCATCGATAAGAAGATCTCGAGTTCAGAAGCGATTGAGCACTATAAGGAGTCCCTGGAGAAGAAGGAGAGGCAGCGGTCAAAGAAATCCGATGAGAAGCCCCGAAAGTCCTCCTCCTCCGAGAAGCTCCGAAGGTTCCGTGAGGCAGAGGAGAAGCGCAAGTCCTCGGAGGAAAAACCTCGAGAGCCCTCCGAGGAGAAATCCCGAAAGTCGACGAAAAAAGCTCCCTCGGAGAGAACGAGATCGAAAGAGCCTGATCGGAGGGAAAAGGAGGAAAAAGGCCGGACAGAGAAAGACCAGAAGGAGCGGAGAGAAAGGGGTGAGAGAGATCGAAGGGAAAAGGAGGAAAAAGATGCAAAGAGGAAAAAACCACGCGAGGATAGTGTTGAACGCAAATCCAAGCAGAGGGAGGCGGAACGATCCAAAAAAAAGCGCTCGTCTTCACCGAAGAAGGCTCCTGAGCCGAGGAATGAAGAGGAGTCGATGGAGCCCTCCAAGGACTCCACGGAGTCAATTCATGAGGAGAAGCGAGAGGAGGAGGAGATCCTTCCACCACAGGTGCTCCCTCCGGAAGAACCGAAGCTCGAGGAAGCTCCAACGGCTCCGGAGCCACTTCCAGACACCTCTCCTCCGGCTAAAACACATGCTCCGGCATCGGCTCCTCAAAGGAGGAGTCTCCTCCGGCCTCCGAGTGCTCGCCCCCCTTCAGCCAGGCCCGGAGCACCGAAACTCAAGGGAAAGGGCGATTTCGTTATTAATACCAGTGGCCTGCAGATGGGGGATGTTCACGTGATTGTTGAAAATTTTGATAATAAGGACGACGACGAAGGGATGGTCGTGGTGGAGAGCTCCAGTAACGAGGAGGCTATTGTTGGAAATTCTGAGTTATTGAATAAAGAGTTGACCAAGGAGCACGGTTACCTCGTGGCGCAGATCCTGGAGACCCAGAGGGAACTCGTCAACGAGGGAAACGTGGAGATTATTCCGAAGGTGGAGATCGAGTGGGAGGCGGGTATGAGGAAGGAGAAGGAAGCTGTTATCAGGGAGGTGGAGAAGCTCAGGGGGACCATTCAGGGGCTCACCAGGACGACTAATCCTCTTGGAAAACTCATGGATTTCCTTCAGGAGGACGCGGAGATCATGGAGAAGGAGCTGTGGGACTGGAGGGGACAGTTCAGTGATCTTAGGGAGCAGCTAGTTAAGGAGAGAAATGGGATGAAGGATGCTGTCAAGCCGTTGGAGGAGAGCCTCAAGGAGATAGAGGGAACTATTTCTGCACAAATGGAGAAGATACTACAGACCAAAGCAAATATCATGAGAAATAATCAGAAAATCCAGAAATTGTTGAGTGGACGATGAGCATTGTGACTAGTAGATAATTATATTTTTTTGTTGATGGGTTCTATTATTCTCCTTAATGAATTAATTATTACATATCACAAAATATTACTGAAATATACAGTTGGAAAGTTAAAACGATGACTTTATTTTTTTTTGCGTGAATAAAGCTAATTTTATTGGATGGCAATAACTACATTTCAGCGGGAATTTCAATTACTTTGAATTTTTTTCTCCATCTCAATTGAAATCCGTGTAGAGCATCGCTTTGGCTATTGGCAGAGCAGCATTTTTCCCCAGGAGCTCGGAGACTATTGTCAATGCAAATGCAAATGTCGTTGCCGGTCCTCTGCTGGTGATCAATTTGTCTGGAGAACAAAATCAAGAGTTTCAGGGATTGTGATTTTTTTTAATTTGTACTTTTGGCATTTTCTCACCGTCCACAACAACCATCTCCTCGAGGTAGTTGTAGTCTCCTGAGAGTTCATCTTTTTTTCCGGGGTAAGAGGTGATTTTTTTCCCAAGTCCTATTCCATGGGCCTTCAAGGCTGTTGGAGCTGCACAAATCGCTGCGATTATCCTCCCAGCTTGTTCCTGGCTTTTCAAGAGGTCTCCAACTTCTTTCGACTACAGACACATGATGAGAACAACGCAGCGATAAAAAGAAATGAGAAACTAATCCTTTTAATACCTGAGCAAGTGCCTGAGAGCCTCCAAGTCCTCCAGGTAAAATAACAACATCATAAATATTGGAGGGCACAACATCAGAAAGTTTTGCATCAGTGCAGATTTTTGTGTCCTTGGAGCATTTGACACACTCCTTGCCAGTTATACTGGCAATAGTGACAGCTACCTGGCCCCAAAATTCATGTAAAACCGTACAATAAATTATCGTTATTGTCAATATAAAAAAAAAATAATGAGGTTACCCCTGCTCTTCTGAGAACGTCCGCTGTGATGACAGCTTCCATCTCCTCAGCTCCATCTCCCATCAATAGAATAGCTTTTTTACTCATTTTGCAGAATTGTGAAAAATTTTTGATCTCTAGAGCACGTCCAATGACATGTAAGACTGGAAATCGAATGATTGGCAAGGGCATGGACTCATCAACGTCACAATGAAATTTATGTTTATTGAAGCCCTAACCTCGTGTAACTGCGTAATAATCGGGAATCAGTTATCATCCGAATGTGTTCATAGATAGTTTATAATGGCTAGAATGTTGATCTTACCTTTCAAAATGATTAGAGTCAGGTCCATCACCACCACCGCCATCCGGAATACTCCGGTCAACATGGCATATACTGTTTATGACGAAGATACTCTAGGAAACGTAAGATTAATTTTCCAATTCTTTACTCGATAAAGAAAATTATTTGAACTATAAAATTGAGTTTTTTTTTTGTAAAATTCCAAGAAACCGCCTGTGCTGGTGCTGCACGGGCTCTTCGGCTCGCGAAATAATTGGAATTCATTGTCAAGATCTCTGAATCGACAGACAAAGCGAAAGATCATCGCAGCTGATTTTAGAAATCATGGGGATTCTCCCCACACCCAGAAGATGACGTTTCAGAACCTGGCCTGGGATATCCAGCATTTGCTGGACAAATTGAACATCAAGGAGTCGATCCTCTTAGGGCATAGCATGGGAGGAGCTGCAGTCATGTTCACAGCCCTGACCTATCCCTATCTTCTTGAGAAACTCGTTGTTGTGGACATGTCTCCAGTGAAGACTAGATCTGGTCCCCTAGAGATATCAGGAATTATGTCTGCCATGAATTCTGTTGATTTCAGAGGTCTTCAAACTCTCTCTCAGGTAAAATAATTAATCGAGTCTAGGACTAATTTATATAATAAATTATAGAATGGAGTGGAATTAAATAGAAGAAATAATTTCAGGCACGGCAGCACGCGGATAAAGTGCTTTCTGAAACAATTCGGTCCTCAACTTTACGTCAGTTTCTCATAACGAATGTAAAGGAGGAATCCCCGGGGTCTTTCAAGTGGAAAGTCAATGTCCCGTCGCTGATGGAACATTTTGGGCCAGAAATTGTAGGTTTCCCCGCGTTGCTTGCTAGATTAGGCGGTAAGACATTCACCAAGCCAACATTATTCATAAGTGGTGGACGGAGTGATTACATGACGAAAGAGGATCACCCTGGCACCAGAAAATTATTCCCGGGTGCCGAATTCGTGTACATAGAGGATGCTGCTCACTGGTTGCATGTAGAGAAACCAGTAGAGTTCTTGAAAATAGCCTCGGACTTTATAAATTCATAGTGCAAAGGTTAGATAATGGATTAGATAATTTTTTTTAGAGAGATTTTGACATTGGAACATGTCATTATTTTTCATTGGATGACTTCCAACGGTGTTAATTAATTTTTCAGTGGCATTTATTAGAGAATAGGGATTTCAACGAAATAAATACGGGCATATAACAATATAAATGCATTTATTAATTCAACCATTATACAAAAGTCCCTTCACGTCCTAGTCCATAAAATAGCTCATTGGAATGATGAAAAAAAAAACCCCTCGATAAATAGTAATAATGTTCAGAGTTTTGCCTTCGTGGTGACTTTTACCTCCTTGAGATCGACGTAGGCGTTGGTAATCACTGGTGTATTGTTATCAACGATAACGCATTCGAAGTGAATTCTGTTGCCATTTCTCCACATGTCAGTCCTCAGGGTTTGCCCAGGCACCACAGGCTTAGAGAATCGAGCTCTGATGGCCTCAAACAAGCCAGGATCACCACCCGCGAATGTTTTGAGGATGTGTCTCGTGGCAAATCCAATTGAGCAGAGCCCATGGAGTATGGGCTCTTTGAATCCTCCCATTTTAGCGAATTCTGGGTCCACGTGGAGAGGATTCAAGTCTCCAGAGCTCAGTCTGTACAGGGCCGCCTGTTCTGTACTCGTTTTTTCCGTCTGAGAGGCGTCTGGTGCTCGATTGGGTGCCTCCACACTGAGAATCTCGTGGGGGGAGCTATTGGGACCTCCAAAACCTCCAGCTCCCTTAACAATTGCTGTAATACGACCTGTCGTCAATTTCTCCCCAGTTTCCGCATTGAATGTCTCGTGTTCAATCAAGAGAAAAGCATTTCTCCCCTTGTCCAGAACGTCCAGAATTTTGCACTTTGTTTCAATCTTAGCTTCAGTTGGAATGGTCTGAAAGACCTTTATGTACTGTTCCCCATGGACAACTGCAGCGAGATTGACCGGTCTCCCTTGGAAAGCCTTCTCCAAAATATCAGTTGCCATGAGGGTGGCAGGACCATACACCACGTAAAAGCAGGGAACCACAGCAAAATCTGCATGATTCTCGTAAAGGAATTTGAAGTCCATTGGATCTTTAAGCCTGGCCCCGACACTGAGAGCGTAGAGAATGGTCTGTTTGAAGTCGTACTCGTTTATCATGCTGTACTCCATTACCTCAGAGGAACTCTTATTATTTTGGAGGACTTCCACGGCGTTCACCAGCTCTCCGGTGACTATTGCAATGTTCTCATATCGTTTGGCCCCCTCCATGCTCAAGATGGCTCCCCAGTTGTTTCTGACGTCTTCAGGGGTCACTGAGTCCTGTCGATTTCTTCTCAGAAGAGCTCCATTTCCTCGAATCAGATGACACTTGCCAGCCCAGCCTAGTGCAGCCTCGATTATCTCACCATTCTCGTTGCAGTCCTCGTGGCACAGCCAAACCACAACTGGAGCTATGAATTCAGGTTTTAGCTCGTTGAAGAGCTCTGGAGGGAGAATGTCCTCTGTTAGTCTTGATCCTGCTGTTGGGATGATCACGTTGCTCTTGATGTTGGAGGATTGGCCCTCGATTGATAGAGTGTTGGAGAGCCCAACAAGACCCATTTTAGCAGCTGAATAATTTGCCTGGCCAAAATTCCCGTACATTCCACTATTTGAGGATGTGAAAATAATTTTACCGTACTTCTGCTTCCTGAAGTGCGGCCAAGCTGCTCTGGTTGTCACCATGGAGCCCTTGAGGTGAACATCGTGAATGAGATCCCAGTCCTGGTCTGACATCCTCATGAAGGATTTGTCACGTAGAATGCCTGCGTTGTTTACCAGGATGTCGATTCGCCCGAATCTGTCGATGGCTGTTTGGACAATTTTATCGCCCTGTAGGACGGAGTCGTAATTTGGGACGGCAATTCCACCAGCTGATGTAATTTCAGTTACAACTGTGTCAGCGGCTTTGGTATTGCTGCCATCCCCATGACGACCTCCACCCAGATCATTCACCACGACTTTTGCACCCCTCGAGCCAAATAAAAGGGCATAGGCTCGACCTAAACCTGCACCTGCTCCTGTTATAACCACAACTCGATCATCGAAGCGAAGACTGTCTGACATTCTTTTCTCGTTTAAACCTTGAAGGTCATTGATCATTAAACATCATGAAAAATTTCCTCATATTTATTGATTTATTGCTATTCCTTCACTAATCTCCTTGAGGGTGGAATAAATGAATTTGATAAGATGTTTATTGGATATCAAAAGATATCCAAAAAAGGAAGGAAGATTAAATTGTCTACATGTTGTCGTCGAAAATTCCCCTTTCCTACATAATTAATTGGCAGAATGACTCAATTGAATGCAAATGCTGAATTCACTAAATGGCTCTTCATATATCTATGGATCCTCTCTTTTATCACGATTAAAAATCAAATCTACAACCCCATTGGAAGAGCCCTGCCCTTTGGGATGAAAATCCACTAGAATCTTCAACAGATACATGAGAAAAGACAATGAAAATAATAAAAACCTTTTCTCTCCTGAAAGTAACCTTTGAACTGCTGCAATGGTCAGTAACATAAATGTCACTGGAAGATTATGAGAGGTTCACTATTTTAATTTCACCGCCAGGAGGTGCTTGTGCTATGAATTCAGATGATTTAGCTGAAATAAGCTCTCAGATAATCTGTAAATCCAGATACCGACCGGTCCTCCAGGGAATGACACTTCAAACTGAACTCTTCTCTGCAGTGTAATGGCGTCTTTTAGCAACATGAACGCATTTTCTCCAGCCCCTTTCTGGCAGAATGGGCCAGCGCCTGGAGCTATTTATAATTTTCCAGGACAAGTTATTGGTCATGATGTTAGCCCCATACAAGTGTCACAGTGAGTTACTCGGACTATTATAAAAATCTCAAAAGTGCATATCATCCCCATGAACTCTCAATTTCAATCAAACTCCTTCAAATCTCATTCGATTGTCGTATCCTTTGAAACAGTTTTTTCATCAGCAAGAACGTGCAACACGGCATTTTTAAACCGAAATTTCAATAATTTTATTTTCCGAAAAAATGTTGAAGTTAACCTCAAAATTGTCCATTTTCAAATCAAGGATTGTTAATTAATTAGTATTGATAATTAATTAAGGTCTCCAGTGACGACTGGTACGTCAGTTGTTGGAGTGCAGTTCAAGGAAGGAGTGATGATTGCTGCAGACATCCTGGCATCCTATGGATCATTGGCTAGATACAGAAATGTCGAACGTATCATCAAAGTCAATGACAATATTATTTTGGGAGCTGGCGGGGATTACGCTGATTACCAGTACCTCAAGAACATGATCGATCAGAAAATGTAAAAGAAAAAAAAAAATCTTCTAGTTGATTAATTAATCGACCAAAATAATTCATTTTATATCTCTCCAGTCTCGAAGAGCAGTGCCTCGACGATGGTTTTACATTGAAGCCAAAGTCTCTCCACTGCTGGCTGACACGAGTCTTGTATAATCAGAGATCTAAATTCGATCCCCTGTGGAATAATTTTATAATTGCTGGGTTTGACAATGGAAAGCCGTGAGTAACAGAGAATTAAAAAAACTCTTGCTATTGAATTGCAAGTAAATATTTATTTGAATTTTTTTAATGGATTAATTTTTCGTTTAGATTTATGGGAACAGTTGATAAACTTGGAACAGCTTTCGTCGACCCTGTGATTGCCACTGGTTATGGTGCTTACATGGCGAGTCCTCTGCTTCATAAAAAATACGATGAAAATCCAGAGATGACTGAGGAAGAAGCCAGTCAGCTCATCCACCAGTGCATGGATGTTTTGTACCTGAGGGACGGCAGATCATTCCCCAAAGTGAGTTTTGAGTGAGAATTCTATAAATATCTTTGACGAATTATTGATTTATCCTTGCAGTATCAACTGGGAATAATTACGAAGGAGAAGGGTATCGAAATAAAGGGACCAATTGAAGTGAAGGGACACTGGGCGATTGCTGGAATGTAAATCGTCGAATTAATCGTTTCATTTTGCTTTAATAAATCGAAGAAATCAATCCGTCATGAATAATCATTTCTATTTGATAAATAAATACTTATAATAAAAATGTCATTGAAAGCTCTTTCAATTCTGCAGATGAAATGTTTTTCCTTTTTTCGATATGATGATTGTTCTATCGAGAGATATTCAACTTTGAAAATCGTTTACAGTGTTTATGAAAATATGGAAACCATATTCTCAACGGAGAACTAATTGAAGTTGAAAAAAATGGCAATAATTTATTTATTGATCGGGGAAGGGTTTGTGGGGTTAACATGTGAGAATATCACAGCCAGTTTCGGTTATTAGAATTGTGTGCTCGATTTGTGCTGTTCTGGCTGAGTCCACAGTTACTGCAGTCCAACCATCCTCAAGCACTTCAATTTCTGTGTCTCCTTGAGTCAGTACGGGCTCTATCGTAAATGTCATCCCCGGCTGCATCTTGCCAAATTCATCATTAACTTGAAATCATTAAGAAATTGGTTAGTTTCTTCCTGGAATCAGTTGTTATGAAAGAAAATTTTCACTACCAAAGTGGAAAATGTCAGGCAATCCGTGAAAATAAGTTCCTATTCCATGTCCAGCAAAGTATGGAATCACAGAAAATCCGTTTTCCTTTGCTATTTTCTCGATTACGTACCCTGAAGAAAATTCAATTAAAAGACTTTCTTTTCTAATTAACTTCATTGAATGATTATGATGAGGAGATGCCCAGAGGAAAAATGGACGGTGAAAGAACTTGCCTATACTGCAAAATCGTTCATTGGGTCTGCAAATGTCGATAGCAGCATCCAGGCAGGTTTGAGTGACAGTTATGAGTTTCTTCATATCTTCATCGAGTTTACCAATGGCAAACATTCCTGAACAATCCCCATGAAAACCATTCAAGTAGACCTGATTACAGAAAATAATGAACAATCGTTTCTGAAAATATTTCCCCCGATTTTTACCGAAACGTCAACGTTGAGGCTGTCACCCTCAATCAACGGACGATCGTCTGGAATTCCGTGGCATGCAACATTATTTATACTAGTGCAAATTGATTTTGGAAATCCGTGGTAATACAGAGGACTGGGGTAAGCCCCATGATTTATTATTAGATCGTGTAATTGTTCGTCCAGATAGTCGGTTGTAATTCCTGGCTGAAAGGAAAAGTAAAAATGAATGATTTCAATTATTTATTGCCAAAAAAATATTCTAATGAAATTATTCACCTTGATTATCTCTTTGGTGTGATTTAAAATTTTTTTCGCTAATCTACAACTGTGTCTCATGCACTCGATCTGATTTTCATTCTTAATTTCGACAATCTGCGGAGGTATATCCTGTGATTGAGATTTGTAATAACAAGGCTTGGCAATTGACGCTGGAATTGTTCTGAACGGATGGATAATTTTCCAGGGCTCGATCAATTCGTATTTTCCGAACTGATTAGTCACTAATCGTCTCTCTCGTTGTGGTGATTTCTTAATAAATCATAAATAAAAGATTAGCTGTCGCATTTTGACAAATTGAATAAAAAATTACTTACCCTTGAATGTCGGAAAAAATTATCGAATAGATTTCGTGAGGGCTGGCTCATTTTCGAAACTGTCTTCAATATTTTCTCCATTTTTTATTATAATTTACAATGTTTAAAGATTATTAAAAAATGTTTTTAAGCGGTTGGGGTACCCTGAAACAATTAACAACTTTATTCTAATTGTCAGCTAACCCCTGATAATTGGAATAACGAGGAAAATTGATATTTATTACATTTTTATTAGTTTCAACCAAAGAGGATTGTCTAAAGTAGAGGCTCAGTTCTGGGGGTTTGAGTGACCCCAGCGGCATCGTAGTACTGCACCCCAAGAGAGGGAGGGCGCAACACGCAATGCTGGGGTGTTTTTTTTTTATTAACCCAGTTTTTATTGCAATGCTGGGGTGTTCATCAAGTCGACGGGGTGAATTTTATTTTCTGCTGTACGAATGCTT